ACCCAGCCACAATTGCTGCAACTCAGGGCAGGAATGGAGTTTGCCCCTTACCAGAGCCAGTCGATGATGGCCGGGCTGCTGGAGTCGGCTCCGATACACCGCAGGCGGCACAGGACCCGGATCACGTTCCCATCCAAGACACCAGTAGCCTGGGACCAGGAGCTGGGGTCACCACGCTGGGAGGTGCTTGTGCTCCCGGCAAGGCAGGGAGCTGAGGTGCTCACAGGGCAGAGTAGGGACACATGAAGACAACCCATGGGCCAAGCTGGGCAATGGGCGAGGTGCACGGCAAAGCAGGGGAGAGCCAGAGCCAAGCACAGCCCTGAGGAGCCCCTGGCTTGTGAGGCCTGGCAGCAGGACCCTGACAGGCGTGGGGCTGGGTGGCAGAGAAGGGACATGTGTCCACTGATGCTCAGCTCTCACCTGCCCATACGAGATGGATGCGATGGCTCCTGCTGTGTATCGGCCTACTCCTGGTAACAGCTTCTGCAGGTCCTCAGCTGTCCTGGGCATCCGGCCGGCCAGCTCGGTCACCACCTGGCAGAGAGGGGGCCGAGGTCAGCGGAGCAGTCAGGGTATGCATGTGCAACCCATTCTACCCATTGCAAAATGGGATCCCAGCCATTGTAGCCTTGTGTCAGCAGCACACAGCCCCAGCAAGACATGGCAGATGTGAGCCAGCACCAACCCAAGGGCGGCAGCGGGCTTTGGAAATGCCCCCACACCACAGCGCCAGGGCACCTTCCTTGCTGCCTCCTGCAGACGTTTCCCTCTTGAGTAGTAGCCAAGTCCAGCCCACAGCTCGTTGACCTCCTGCTCCAAGAGACGTGGCACAGTGTTAGATGAAGAGCCATGAGAGCAGGGAAAGCACCTGGTCCCAGCAACGCTCACCTCCAGGGATGCCTGCGCCAGAGCCTGCAGCGTCGGCCACTTCTGCAGGACAGAGGGAAGGGGACAAGTCAGAGCTGTGCTCTGCTACTGGGGAGCTGCCTTAGGCAGTGGATAAGGTCTGCAAAAGGAGTAGCCTGTGGGCACAGGACTCTGTAAGGAGCAGCCACCTGCATCCAGCGGTTGTAGTAGTCGATCACTGTAGCCACCTGCGTCTGCTGGAGCATGATCTCAGATACCCACACTACAGAAAACAGGGCAGGGGTCAGAGCAGAGCCACCAAAGCCACACACACCTCATGCTGTGGCCATATTAGCATTGGCTACAAGCACTGCACCAGCATCCAACCCATGCAACTCCTTCCCACCCCTCACCATCCCCACATGCTGTCTCACAGAGGCTCCCTCAAGCTCAAAGGGAGCTCCTCAACCCCCCAGCACCTTGCAAGGGGAGGTCAGTGGCTCTCGTGGCCACTCCAGACAGCTTGTTCCAAGGATGGCAGCTT